CCGTACGTTGGTTTGCGTGCAGCCAGCAGCAACAGCCTGGTTGATCAGGCTCTGATCCACCAGGAGGCCTGGTCACAGACCGGGCCGCAGGGGCGTTGACCCCCGGAACTCTCTCCAGGTAATAGGCAAGTGCTAGATGTGTAAAAAAAATACTGGTGAAACTAAAGAAAAAATAATTATAATGACAATCGTATGAAGACGTGTATAAATCTTTCAGTTTATAAAATTGGTCTACCACTGGTACAGTTTTACTGAGAAAGTATAAATTTTTACCAGGTAAAAGGCAAAAATTAAAGCAATGATGTAAGAAAATGGTACGAGGGACTGCAAAATAAAAAAAAAATTGAGAAACAAACCTCTGAGAACAACTGGTGCTGCTACCACAAATCCAACAGCACCAGCAATAGCGGCTAGTCCATATCCCAGCCCCTTCAGGATCTCATCAACTGTATCCTTTCCTGAAGATTTTGCACTCAACCTGAAGGGATAAAGTTGAAATTTTTAGCACTTCAATAATATCTGCATAACAGGTTATATAGAGGAAAAATTTAAAAAAAAAAAAAAAGAATGAAGAAAAAGTGATATTGAGAAACCTTACCACTGGGTCAAGAAACAGGTTCACATTTCAGCTAGGGAGCTGCAGACCCAGTGTCTATAATGCCAATCTGCAGGCTCCAGCGTCTTGTTCATGTTAATTCAACTTTGTACCACCTTTGCCTGTTATCTGATGTTAGCTTAGCTGGAAGTAGGCAAGTATAGAGACTTTCCATGGGAAAGTGTTTTTAATAATAGTAGCTGTGGGATTCAGAAGACTAAATAAGTAGTGTTGAGATTTGGATGGCCCAGACAGAGGGTGGTGTATGCTCCAGGTGGAGCTCAGGTCAGCTAGTGACTTAAGAATGAGTGGAGATATGTACAAACATTTCCTACCCCTAGTAATGATTCCTATAGTTATGTCATAGTGCAATATTTCCAAAGAATAATGTAAAGTTTATTGTAAGAGGGTATTCGTCCCATTTATTTATGCAATAAACCTGTACTCAACGTTATATCAAGGATGGGAGTAGGTCCCTTCTACCCTTAACATATAAGTATGGTAACAAGCTGCATCGGTGACTACACTGCCTCACATCATCGCTACCCACTACAGTGGACTTTACCCGCCTCCACTTGATCTTTACATTATAAAAAAATAAATGATGGGGTCAGTGACAATTATTCTACTCAATTACAATTTATTAATACTCCAAGTCAAATCCACTTAAGAAAGGAGAAGCAATGCATCAGAAAAACTGGCCCAAGCCAGTCAGGTCCAACTCTCAGCCACCCACACCCTCTCAAGTATTTGTCTAAACTATTTTTGAAACTACAAGATGTTTTATCATCAACCTAAATTTTTCCAATTTGAAACTAATGACGAGTCTTCTCTTGGTTAGATACTTTTAGCATGTGATTTGCATCCAGTTTATTTATTCCTGTTTTCCATCTTATAATACTTGTACATACATGCATCATGTCAAAATAAAATATTATCATAATCATTACAGTGGAACCTCTGTTTTCGTGATTAATCCATTCTAAAAAAATGTTTCGAAAACCGAATCATATGAAAACTGAAGCAATATTTCCCATAAGAAATAACGTAAATCTAATTAATCCGTTTCAGTCACCCAAAAATATTAACAAAAAATTACATTTTATAGAGAATAACTATAGTTTTACATACAGAAAAATTTAAGAAATATAAGTGACTAATGAAATGAATAAATGAATATTTAACATCACTTTTACCCTTATTGAAGACTTGTTGGCATATGGAAGACAGCGAGGAAAGGAGAGGGAGGAGGTTATTGTTTGGAAGGGGAATCCCCTTCCATAAGGACTTCAGGTATCTAAGGCCCTAGCCAGGGTTACTTCCTTTCTTTGTCTTTTACGGGCACTAGGACCAGCTCGGGAGTCACTGTACCCCTGTAGAAAAAAAAAAATGATCCAAAGAGGTCTGTTTCATGCATCTCTAAGATTTACCTAAAATGGAACAAGGCATTGTCATTGAACATGTTGCAGACAGCTTGCAACAGCTTTTGTAGGGTGATATTTGTCAACAAAACTTTGCAACTCAGTCCACTTTGTACAATGTCCTTAACCACTGAAGAAGGCACATTCTCCCCCTCTCTTCCTCCTCCTCTGAAGCAAGTTCCTCAGCAGCAGTCTGTTGCTGTTCCAGTTGAAAGTCTTGCAGCTCTTCAGTGGTTAGCTCTTCCCTGTGGTCATCCACCAACTCTTATACATCTTGGTCACTCACATCCAACCCCATGGACTTCCCAAAGGACACAATAGATACCACAATAGGCACAGGGTCAGCCTCAAACCTTTCAAAATCATTCTCCTGGAGAGAGTTCCGGGGGTCAACGCCCCCGCGGCCCGAGTGATTTCCGTGTGCAAGTTCGGTACTAGTCCCTCTAGGATTTTCCAGGTGTATATAATCATATAATCATGCATCTCTCCCGCCTGCGTTCCAGGTAATACAGGTTTAGGAACCTCAAGCCCTCCCAGTAATTGAGGTGTTTTATCTCCGTTATGCACGCCGTGAAGGTTCTCTGTACATTTTTTAGGTCAGCAATTTCACCTGCCTTGAAAGGTGCTGTTAGTGTGCAGCAATATTCCAGCCTAGATAGAACAAGTGACCTGAAGAGTGTCATCATGGGCTTGGCCTCCCTAGTTTTGAAGGTTCTCATTATCCATCCTGTCATTTTTCTAGCAGATGCGATTGATACAATGTTATGGTCCTTGAAGGCGAGATCCTCCGACATGATCACTCCCAGGTCTTTGACGTTGGTGTTTCGCTCTATTTTGTGGCCAGAATTTGTTTTGTACTCTGAAGATGATTTAATTTCCTCGTGTTTACCATATCTGAGAAATTGAAATTTCGGGAAGACTTAGATTAATTCTTAAATTTAAAATATTACAAATTATGAGGTAAGTTGGTATTATGGCTAAGTGGCTAAATATTAGTTTGTGAGTTTAGCAATGTGAATGCTTTTGTTTTGGCACAATACATAGTTTCAGTATTGGAGTATCACAGGCCAACTTATGACTAGTTAGGATTCATTATTTTAAGATTGATATTTCTGTTTATGGTCAAATGGGCGAGTGAGTAAGTTTGAACCACCAGGTGGTATTCGTGTAATTAGTTGACGGGGTGTATCAGGGAGGAGATGTTTGCTAATGATAGTTTTGAAGGTGATGAATGTGTCTGCAGTTTGAGTTTTCAGGTAGGGTGTTCCAGATTTTAGGGCCTTTGACATACATAGAATTTTTGTAAAGGTTTAGTCGGACATGGGGAATGTCAGAGATGTTTGTGTCTGGTGTTATGCCTGTGGGTTCTGTCAACTATCAAGAAAGCATTTTAGGTCAAGGTTAATATTGGAATTTAAGGTCCTGTAGATGTAGATTGCACAGTAGTGTGGATGTACTGAACAGGGAGTAAGTTTAGATCTATGAAGAGTGGGGGGGTGTGTTGCCAGGGATGGGATTTAGTGATTCTTACTGTGGCTTTTTGTTAGGTTATTATTGGCTTTAGGTGTGTTGCTGCAGTTGATCCCCAAGCACAAATAGCATAGGTGAGGTATGGATAAATGAGTGGTATAGTGTGAGAAGGGCATTTTGCGGCATGTAGTATCATATCTTGGAGAGGATCCCAACCGTTTTGGATACTTTTTTGGTTATGTGTTGGATATGGGTGCTGAAATTCAGGTTGTTGTCGAGGTATAGGCCTAGGAATTTGCCCTCATTATGTCTGGCAATTAGAGTGTTGTTGATCTTAATGTTAATCTACGCAAATCCTGCTCAGCTACCAAACATAATATGTAGGTTTTGTCAGTGTTAAGTGTAAGTTTAGTGGCTGTCATCCAAGTCGATATTTTGAGCAGCTCCTCGTTAACAATGGTGTTGAGGGTGGCAAGATTAGGGTGAGAGATGACATAAGTCGTGTCGTCAACAAAGAGAATGGGGTTCAGGTGTTGGGATACGTTTGGAAGATCATTGATGTATACGAGGAAGAGCAGGGGACCAAGGACACTTCCCTGCGGAACTCCAGTATCAAGTGGCCATGTTGTTGATGCTGTGTCTTTAATGGTGACATACTGATACCTATTAGTAAGGCAAGATTTGAAATATGCAACCGCATGGCCTCTTATACCGTAATGGTCAAGTTTGTGGAGTAGGATGCCGTGGTCTACCGTGTCAAAAGCTTTTCTTAGGTCAATAAGAATTCCTAGTGGATATTCCTTATTTTTCAATGCTGTGTAAAGCAGATCTAGCATTTTTATGATTTCATCATTAGTGCTTTTATTTTTCCTGAATCCAAATTGGCAGGGGTTGAGTATGTTTTGTGCCGTTATAAATGAATATAGTCTCCTGTGCAAGAGTTTCTCAAAGATTTTGGATAGCAATGGTAAGTTTGATATTGGCCTATAGTTGTTTAAATCTGTAGGG